CCCCCCCCCGGGGCAGCCTATTCCAGTGGCTGACAACCCTTTCAGAGAAGAAATGCTTCCTAACATCCAACCTGAATCTCCCCTGACTAAGCTTATACCCATTTCCTCTTGTTCTATCACCCATCACTAATGTAAAGAGCCCTTCCCCCACCTCCCCACCATCCCTTCTCAAGTATTTGTAGGCCGTAATCAGGTCTCCCCTCAGCCTCCTCTTCTCCAGGCTAAACAGCCCCAACTCCCTCAGCCGCTCCTCATAAGTTTTATTTTCCAGCCCCTTGACCAGTTTAGTTGCCCTTCTTTGGACTCGCTCCAGGAGCTCAATATCTCTCTTAAAGCGAGGGGCCCAAAACTGGACACAATATTAAAATCATAGAATCATAGAATCATAGATGCACTTGGCCTTATTAAAGCTCATGCCATTGGCCTCAGCCCAACGATCCAGTCTGTTCAAATCCCTCTGAAGGGCCTCCCTACCCTCAAGCAGATCGACACAGCCTCCCAGCTTGGTGTCGTCCGCAAATTTACTGAGGGTACATTCAATCCCCTCATTAAGTCAAGACTGATTTTGCCCATCTTCACTGCAATACAAAGGTGCTTGGCCATTTTAGAAATATCTGAGATGCAGGCCAGTTGTTGCAATGTGTTTTCCAAGCAGATGGTCACATTCACTGTAAGCTGGCTTCTAGCATCAAAAGTGCTGAGTGAGAGAAGACAGAGAGTCTGTTCAGTTTCCAAAGACAAGTGGTAACTCACTAGCCAGGGATATCTCTATTTGCTGCTCTGTTGATACTACGTAGGTCAAATTAGCCACAAAGCTGAGCCCCACTTAATAAGGTCTCAGTTTTAAGAACAATGTTTCTAGTCTGGGCTCAGACAACTTGTTTACTTTAATTTCAGTGGAGTTGTATTACAGCAGAATTTGGCCAACTGAAAAGAAAACATCCAGTAACTTTACTGCCAACAAGAGCATCATTAAGCCCTGTAATGAGGGTTTTGCAGACTGTTTGTTCTGTCTTGCATTCCTTCAGTTTTGGAGGAGCCAGAAGTGAGCACTTGGGTTTCAAAGAAGGTGGCAATGCGACATCAGCACACAACAGTTGCTCTGCCAATACACCCATTAGGCCATGCTGTCCGTGCAGACACTCAGAGCAATGCATGCTCCTCTCGTAAAGGGCTGTGATCCTATTGTCTGCTGGGAAGTCCGAGTCAGCACTCCGTATGCTCCAGAAAATGGTGCTGGAAAGTAAGAAAAGTGTTCCTCCTTTTGCACTAGAGTTCTGGAAAAAGCTGAGAGAACTGGACTGCTGCTGGAGAAGATCTCTGAGTATTTGTATCAACTCTTGGCAGTGATTTGACTCTTTGTAAAGAGATGTCATTCACTCTGACATCCTTGTCCCGCTGAGTTGTTGCTGCAGTTGAGTCCGGACATTGCATTTTTCTTTGCTTATCTCAGACAGTGATAGTCATATCTTGCTGTCTTCTTGACAGCAAGTTGATATCACTGTTGGAGATGGTGTCTGCTTTAAATTTTTGTCTGTTCGCGAGGTGCTTTGGAATCACAGAGGGTGAAAGGTTCAAGTCAATGACAGTGCGAGTGTTGCTGTTAAGGTTTTAATCATGCTTTTGTTTTTCAGGTACGGCTCGAAACACCCTGAGCCAACCAAATGTGTGGCTAGCAATCTTCCTCAGCATTGCCCTCTGTGTGCTGCCTGTAGTTGGCTTTCGATTCCTGAAGGCTCAGCTAAACCCAACTCCCAGTGATAAAGTAAGGAGATAACTTATTAAGCCAGAAATAGTAGAAAATCCTGCTTACTATCACCTAAGCTTACCATGGAGCTACATTGCAGGGCCTGGCATTGCTCTGAATGTATGTCTCTGTAGGAGCAAGAGCCGCCACCTGTCAGACCCCTAGGCCCTTGAGAAGGAGGATTGAATTTTAATTTTAGAATCACAGAATCATCAAATGGTTTGGGTTGAAAGGGACCTTAAAGATCATTTAGTTCCTACTCCCCCGCCATGGGCAGGGACACCTTCCACTAGATCGGGTTGCTCAAAGCTTCATCCAACCTCCCCTTGAACACTTCCAGGGATGGGGAAGCCACAACTTCTCTGGGCAACCTGTTCCAGTGCCTCATCACCAGCAGAGGGAAGAATTTCTTCCTTAGATCTGATCTAAATCTCCCCTCTTTCAGTTTAAAGACATTGCCCCTCATCCTATCACTACATGCCCTTGTAAAAAATCCCTCTCCAGCTTTCTTGTAGGTCCCCTTTAGGTACTGGAAGGCTGCAATAAGATCACGCCGAAGCCTTCTCTTCTCCAGGCTGAACAACCTCAACTCTCTCAGCCTGTCTTCATAGGAGAGGTGCTCCAGCCCTCTGATTGTCTTTGTGGCCCCCGTCTTCAATAGCTCCATGCCCTTCTTGTGTTGGTGACTCCAGAGCTGAACACAGTATTCCAGGTGGGGTCTCACGAGAGCAGAGTAGAGGGGCAGAATCCCCTCCCTCGACCTGCTGGCCACGCTTCTTTTGATGCAGCCCAGGGTACAGTTGGTTTTCTGGGCTGCAAGTGCCCATTGCCGGCTCATGCTGAGCTTCTCATCAACTTTTGGTGCAGTTCAAACCATCCATCTGCAGCTGGGACCAAGGCTGAGATTATCTAGATGATGTGGATTAGATTCCACCGGAGAGAGGAAGCCACACTATTTTTAGGCGCAGGGTTTAAGTGCTGTGGCTCAGTGGCAAAGGAAGGTCATGCTTCAGTCCTCCTACCCTGCGGTCATACAATTTTTAGCCTTTTTACAGACCGCAGCGCTTCAGCCTCCACCCAGGAGTATGCGTTTGCTGGGGATTGTTTCAGCTTCAGAATTGATTTCCCTTGTAGCTGGTAGTTATATGCCCCCTCTGAAACCGGCTGCCCTCCCAACCCCAGGAATAAGAAGATGAGGCCATTAGGGCAAGGAGAGGCCCGTAGAGATGGAGCGGGCGGGGAGCGCGCAGCTCCGCTCGCTCCATCCTGGGGACCATCCTGCGCGCCGCTCCCGGCTGCCGTTCCAACCGGAGCATCTGCTGAGTGCTGCTGCCACCTGGTGCTTCCTGCGTCTTCCTGCACCGAGCTTCCAGTCTCGCCACAGCCCCAAGGGCATGCTCCTTCAGCGGCTGCCCTCATCCTCCTTGGGGTGCCTGTGAAGCTTCCCAGGTGCTCCAGGACTGCTGGAGGATGAGTGAAGGGGAATTCTCAGCCCTTGCAGAGGGAGTAGGTGGGTGCTAGAGAAGACTGCTAGGTAAGGAGGACCTCAGGACGCAGTTGGAGGCAGTTCAGATAACTTTATTATTAGCTGAGTTTACCCTTCAGTGGAGTAGAAGTCTGACACAAACTGTGGCTCAGAATCCCAGCCTCAGTGCTTGAGTTGAGTATCTCTTTCTAGTGCAAAATTGCTTTACTTTTCTACCTCCTCTGGGAAGCAAATCATCATGAGAGGAGTGTTTGAGCTTCCTGCTGTACAGAGATCCCCAGTTGGAAGCGTAAAGGGAATGTAACGGCAAGCCTGAAGCTTAGAGAGGCCAAGTTCCTACAGCATCCGCTGTTCCAAGCGGGAAGGACAGGGGTCTTGCGAGCGGCTGAGGAGTCTGCCGAGCCGCTGGCACTCAGTACTGGCCTCCTGCCTTTGAGACCCCCTTTCCAAAAAGATGCTTGTCCACAGATGATCTCGGTGGCCGTGTCAAAGCAGAGAGCCCACTACCTGCGGATAAATTGCATTAGTTATTTCCCTTCTGCCAAGGAATACGAGAACTTATTGATCACCATTCTCATCATAAAAAGCTTCTACATATTGGAGATCCCCTTTAGCAGTCTGTTTTCTAGCTTAAGTAAGCAATTTTTTAAATGTTTCCATGTTCAATTTCTGGACTTTCGATTATTGTTGAGATGACTACCAGGTTTTGGGTTATTTGACTGAAGTGCCTGGAAGAGCTGCAGTAATACCCCAACCAAGGCACCACAGAGCTGTGAGGAACAATACACTGAAATCATCCCTCCTAGTCTTACAGATGACATTTCCATTAATATCTTTTAGAATAAGGTTTTCTTTTCCTTCTACCAGGCTGCCATTCTGTGCTGCCAGTTCAGCTCCTGCTCTGCAACCCCTCCTGCCATCCCCCTGTTTTGTCAGCCATTTTTGGCTTTGGACTCCTGCTTCTGCTTCCCTTTCTTTGCTCCTCTTTTACTGTGCTTGTGAATAACGTACTTCTCACTTGTTCCATCTTATTTTCTGATTTCAGGTCCTGCTCAAGATCAAAGAAGCCAAAAAGAGGCCACCTCCACCCTCACCCAAGAGACGCCTGCGTCGGACCAGCACCCGCCGCTCTGGCTATGCCTTCTCCCACCAGCACGGCTTTGGAGCACTCATTATGTCTGGGAGAAACATGCGGCCAAAATCACCTTTTGCCACAACAGGAACGTTTTCACCAAATAGCGAGAAATATAAACACAAAGGACTTTAAAAAAAAAAAAAAAAAAAGAAGACAAGAAAAACAGCAAAGCAAACCAAAGTAAAGGGCTATCAGGAGAGGAGGCTGTGCTCCCTGCAAAGCACGGAGCCAGTGGCCACCCAGAACTCTGCTCTCCGGGCTACCAAATCAAGGACTTGGGCCTTTCCTTTCACCCATGTACATTCCCTGACTCCAGCTTCTCTTCCAAAGACGTATGCTGCTGCCAGGGAAGGTGGGCTGGGTGAATTAGAGCTGTTGTGTGGTATCCCAGAGGGCCTCCCTGGATCAAGACAGAACGTGCCGCAGGAGGCACCTCTGCTCCCTGAGATTGTTCATAACGCTATGTTTTTTTTCTTCTCCCTTTAACTACATACCTCAGAGCAAAGAGAAGTCCAGGCTGAGGAAAAGGCTGAATTAGCAATGTTTTTCTCATGTGCCTTTGTTTCTGTCCACACTGGGCCGTATTACTGGGATGACAGTATTGACCCCAGGTGTGCCTTAGGTCCAGCCACACAATCCCCAAATCCCAAATCTTTTTTTTTGTGTAATTTCATAGCCTTTTGACTGTACACAGGCACTTTGGGAGGCATGATTTGGAAACAACTGCTTTCCAAGCTAACGGTTAATTCAGTTTCTCAAGAGATGGCCAGTGCCCAAACACCACCCTCTTTCCACAACTGCAGTCGGGAAGTGCTGCAAGCTCAGAGAAACCCTTAGTTGGTCAAGGGACAAGGACTTGACATCCATCAGCCTGCCTTGTTTTATTTGCATTGCAAATCTGCTCGTGTAAAAAAGATCATCGTCCACAGAGCCCTCTCAGATTTTGTAGCTGGGCACCAGCCATTTCATTTAGGCTTAAAAGGGCAGAAGCAGCTCAGGCTCCCATATGGATCAAGCCATAAAATCTGGCCCAGAGAAGCCCATATCACAGTTAGGGCTCATCTGAGCTGCCAGCACCAGGTGTCTCTCCCACCATAACAGACCAAGGCACAGGCACATCTGACCTGATGGGGATCACGTAAGCAGTATCGGAGGGAGAGATGCTATTTCACGGCTAGCTCAGGGTGTCCTGCCCTTTATTCCATGGATGCTTGTGCTCAGCGTAAGGCATGACGTGTGACCTGGTGGCACCCTCACCCTCCTGGAGGAGCTGTGTGGTCAAGTTTCAGAGGAACTTAGCGAGGACTCGGGACTCTCTGCAGAGTTCCTCTGTGCTGGCTAGTATTTTGTTTGCCAACAGTTCATCTGTCAATCATGAGCTGCAGAGAGCTGAAAATCCTACCAGCCTGCCTGCCAGCAGAGGGACCTGAGACACACAGACACAGCCAAAGGCATGGTGATCCTGAGGGACTGGGGTTTGCTCACTGTTTTGTTACACCAGCTCCACCATCCGAGGCTTACTAGGTGGAGTGCCAGCATGGCAGGGTGACAGTCTGTCCTTCCAGCACTACCTAGCTGTCTAAATGAAGCTTTTTTGTGCAGAAGACTAGGCAGCACTGGCTGTTAAATATTTTCTTTTGGCTCCTTCATGCAAATTTAGACTCCTTCCTTGATTGGAATCGGATTTTTCAGCACAATAGCATCTAGTATTTATTGGGAACCCTCTGCCTTGAGTCTCTGAGCTATTGGTGGAGGCAACAGGCCAGCCATGTCCCCATTTTATCCGTTTCATGTGTAACACCTTGCTGCCTGTGGTCCCAGTTTCAGCAGTCACTGCATAAGATTGTTTAAGCTCTAATAGAAGGTTTCATCTCCCTGAGCTTATCTCAGCGCAGACAAAAACAGTCTGTTGCACCTGCTGCTTTGGTATGCTCGTTGCAAACCGTGGTGTTGAGTTTCAGCATAGCCAGTGCAAAGCTGGGACTGGATTCAGACTTCAGCAGCCAGGAGCTGCTTGCTAGGGAAGGAGCAAACTCCAATCCAGTGATCTCCCCTGCAAGGAGACACCTGAGTAAAACGAGAGCCTTCGCCTTCACGGAGGAAACCGCTGTGATAGTTAGTGCTTGTCACCATCCTCTGATTTACCATTCAGTTTGCAGAGACAATCGTGGCTTTCCAATCAGGATTATGTCTTTCACAGTCAGCCTCCCTGGGGCTAGAGGAAAAATGAGAATTTACACAGGTAGGCAGACATCCCCACTGTACCCAGTCTGGTCTGTGGACCGAGAGCCCTATCAAAGCTGTTGGTAGCATGTAATGCAGCAGAATATAATGCTGAGCAGCGGGGGCAGACCTTTTGCTGGCAGGGCAAGGCAGCTCTGAGGCTGTGTCACTGTTTCCATACGGTTTACGTGCAAAGCACTCACCTTCTGGCTGAAGGGAACTTGCAAATGCTGCATAGGAGGTGCAGGGGATATTAGAGCCGTTAGTGAACTTGTGCCAGACGCAAATATTTCAGTAGTTTGACAAGATCACCATTTGAAACATATCAGCTGGCAGTGATGTCTGTCCTACATCACTCCTGATTTTGTAATTTTTATTTTTTTTTTAAATAAAAATATTGGGATGACTGATTCCTTGCCAGTCTGCTAATTGACCGAAGTAATTCATAAACAGATGTGTCATGTCGCTCCTGGACCTCCTAAAGCGAGAGGAGGGTCCGTGGAAGGACGGATCGGAGATGACAGCGCTTTTTTTTCATGCCCGATTTGGGAAACGATGGTTAATTCCCCAAATTGGCATCCTATCACCGATGTTTTAAGAGGAAACTTGGAAGAAACGTCAGACAGACGGAGGACTCCGACACTCGGGCGGGGACGGG